CCTGACACCCACCCTCTCCAACAGCTGCCAAGGAGCTTGTGCTGGTCCCGCTGCATGCTGCGCCTCACCACGCAGTGGCGGAGATCGATGCTCTCTACGATGTGTACCTGGACATTATCGACAAGTGGGGCACCGACGTAAGCCCCGCGCCCGCACAGCCCTGGGTCCCTGGAGGCAGGCCCTGGGGGCGGCCATAGAGGCGTGGGCTGGCTGACCCTGGTCCCCTGCAGGACATGCTGTTCCTGGGCGACTTCAACGCGGACTGCAGCTACGTGAAGGAGCAGGACTGGCCGTCTATCCGCCTGCGCAGCAGCGAAGTGTTCAAGTGGCTCATCCCGGACAGCGCTGACACTACAGTGGGCAACTCGGACTGCGCCTACGACCGCATTGTTGTCTGTGGTGCTCACCTGCGCAGGAGCCTGAAGCCCCAGTCGGCCACGGTGCACAACTTCCAGGAGGTGTTTGGCCTGGACCAGACTCAGGTGAGTGCTGAGCTCCATGGAGGGGGGTGGGAGGTGTCCCCTGGCTGCTCTGCACTGGCTGACAGGAGCCAGCTCTCTTCTGTCCAGGACCAGGCTCAGCCTCAGTGCACCTGGCAATCCCCTCCCTGCCCTAGTTTCTGGAAAAGGCCCCTACAGGGTCAGTTGTGGTTGAATGGAACAAGTCTGGGAAGGCACAATAGGATGCCTTCACCTCTCCCAGAGGTAGGGTCCTGAGTCTGTGCCCACATCCCACTTGCAGGCAACAGCAGGGATGAACAGCCCAGGCCTCACTGGCCTGCTCCCCTAGACGCAGTGGTTTCTTACAAACCCAGTGGGCTTCATCCTAGGTGGGGGGCCAGTTCTCTGAGGTGAAGCCTCAGGAAGGACAGGCTGCCCAGCAGGGCCACTGAGACTTGGCCCCTCTCCCTCCAGGCCCTTGCCATCAGTGACCATTTTCCTGTGGAGGTGACCCTCAAGTCCCACTGACAGCTCCGAGGACTGGCCAGGGCATGCTGCCTGCAGACTGGCTATGAGGAACAGCTCCACAGGACTCAAGGTGGCTGGCTTGCCCTCAGCAAGGCTGCAGGGCAGGGTGAACTGGGCCTGGACAGGTGGCCATTGACATGTAACTGGAACAGTGAGCCGATCCCCCATCTGTAAATGGCCTACCACTACCTACCTCACAGGGGTGTGAGGAGCAACCCAGAGCACTGGGTGTGGCTCTGCTCAATAAACAAGAGTGCTCAGCTAGGACCACAAACAGGTCAGCTTAGAGGCCTCCGTGTCCTTTCTTAGCTTGTCTTCCTGTGGCACAAACCTTGTCCTGCAGCCCAGCAGGTTCTTTAGGGCAGCAGTCGCCAACCTTTTGGACCTCATCCGCAGACCACCGGCTGGCGACTGCTGCTTTAGGGGACAGGCACAGTCTGGCCTGCCCATTTCACATCCTGCTGGAAACCACCACTTCCAGACCACTGTAAATGCGTTCAAGAACTTAAGCTAAATGCAGTGCGGATCAGCACACACACAGGTATAGTGTTGCCTTGCAAGGCCAACCTTCCAGCCCCAATGTTCCTCAACCCCCAGGCACTGGTCTGTATGAGGAGTCCTGTCCATCACTGCAGGGGGTCAGGTTAAGATCCTGCCCACAGAACTCCAGGTGGTACAGCCCTTCAGTGGTGCCTTCCTGGGTAGGTTCTCCTCACGAGCCCTGGGCTGGGCAAGGACTTGTCAGGACAATGGCCTGTATCCCAGGTAAACCCATCCCCTGAGGATCGGGAGTACACGGCATAACTGACAGGGGCCTCATGAGGTTTCTAGTTTTTGGCAGGATTTGGTAACTGTCCTGAATTGTATGGTGGGAGGAAAAGCCTTTTTGTCAAAAGTTCGAGCAAGTTTTTCTTGACAAGTCTTTTTAAATTGAGATGTAGGACATTTGCAACATAGAATGCCTCTCAAATAATGCCTCCCTTGATCCTCTTCAAGTCCCCTTGATTTCTCTGAATTGTCATACATTCCCTCCATCTAAATGAACAAATGTGGTAGCCAAAGGGTTTTTCTCTGGGGGCAAGGGTTGGGGGAAGAGGGGAGGTATCTTGTGTGGATCATCAGGGCCCATGACTCCCTTATGCTTCTAGCAATCAGGCAGCCCAGAGGCCAGGGATAGAACAACCTGAGAACTTTAGTGACAATTCTTTTTTTTTTTTGTTAACCCTCAACTGAGGATATTTTTCCCATTAATTTTTAGAGAGTGGAAAGGAGGGGGTAGGGGTAGAGAGAAAAACCTTGATGTGTCCCACATTGATCCGTTGCCTTCCATACACGCCAGGGACTGGGAATTGAACCCGTGACCCTTTGGTGTACAGGCCAATGCTCTAACCACTGAAACACACCTGCCAGGGCTTCAGTCATATTTCTTTGGGAAAGGAGGCACTCAGTGGTGACACTGCCCAGGTCCAGAATAGGTCCACCTGCCAGTTCATAATTCCCAAATCCAGACACTGCCTGCAAACCCCACCTGCCAGGCAGAAAATGCACTCGTGTATGGTGGTGGGTCTTCGGCCCTGGCTACAAGGAACAGGGCCTTCTGGAAAGATCAGCAAAACAAAGAGCTGAAAGGATTTTTAAATTGGAAAATACCTTGTTTAAACCCCCTTGGGACCAGAGTGCCCCTGGAAGGGTGCATAAGCCTAAAACCTGTGTGGGCAGCCCAGCCGTTAGCCTTTCCTTTGTTTGAGCTTTTCTAAGTAAATTTGCAAGGACTTCTGAATGGCGTCTCTGGAGACAAAACTGACAAAGTTCTTGATATCAGCATCGCGCTGTTTCACCAAGCGGTCTACTGTGGGCTTTCGCATCATGTTCTTGGTCAGCTGTCGAGCGTGATCTAAAGATAACAGGGTCCATGTGTGAAAATAATTCCCAACCTTCCTAAGAGAGTTCCAACACAAACTTTAGTAGAACACTTAGAAGTTAAACATAAGTAAAAAGAAAATGAAATCACCTATGTTCCCACTACCATTATCTTTTAAAAACATATAGGATGACACTGTAAAAACTGCCTTTTTAGCCTGACCAATGTGGCTCAGTGGTTAAGCTTCAATCCACGAACCAGGTCACAGCACATGTCCCAGTTATGGCCTCAATCCCCAGTACAGATTGTGCAGGAGACAGCCTATCAATGATTCTTTCTCATCATTGATGTTTCTATGTCTCTCTCCCTCTCCCTTCCTGTCTCTGAAACCAATAATAATAATAATAATTTGCATTTTTAGCCTATTTATTTTCACTCAACTATATTATCGAGAACATCTTCTTATTAAAGGTTTTTTTTTTCGTTTTTTCTTTTTTAGAGAGGGAGAAGGGAGAGAAACATCAATGTGAGACTGCCTCCTATATGCCCCCAACTGGGGATCAAGTGGGCAACCTGGGCATGTACCCTAACCAGGAATCAAACCAGCAACCTTTTAATGCATGGGATGAAGCCCAACTGAGCCACACCTGTCAGGACTTATCAAGAATATTTTCCAGCCCTAGCTGGTTTGGCTCAGTGGATAGAGGGCCAGCCTGCAGACTGAAGGGTCCCAGGTTTGATTTGGGTCAAGGGTACAGGCCAAGGTTGCAGGCTTGATCCCATCGTGGGGCGTGTAGGAGGCAGCCGATCAATGATTCTCATCATTGATGTTTCTATCTCTCTCTCCCTCTCCCTTCTTCTCTGAAATTAATAAAAACATATTAAAAAAAAAAAAGAATATTTTCCAAGTCACTCAATATATTTGGTCATCCCATGTCTGAACTAAGAATGGTTTTTACATTTTTATATAGTACTAGAGGCCCGGTGCATGAAATTCGTGAATCTCGGGGGTGGGTGGATGGGGTCCCTCAGGCCAGCCTGTGCCCTCTCGCAGTCTGGGACCCCTTGGGGGATGTCCAACAGAGGGCTTAGGCCCACTCCCTATGGGACAGCCTAAGCCCTTGGTTGGACATCTTTAGCGCTGCTGCAAAGGCGGGAGAGGCTCCCACCACAGCCTCTGCACTCGCTAGCTGAGAGCCGGCTTCTGGCTGAGTGGTGCTCCCCCTGTGGGAGTGCACTGACCACCAGAGGGCAGCCCCTGCATTGAGCGTCTGCCCCCTGGTGGTCAGTGCACATCACAGTGACCAGTTGCTCCACCGTTTGGTCAATTTGCATATTAGCCTTTTATTACATAGTTGAACAAAAAGGGTAATATGTTGCGATGTGAAATTACATGAAATAAAATTTCAGTGGCCCTAAGTTTTATCAGAACATCAACATGCTCATTAGTTCACACACTCTCTGTGGCTACCTTCATGCCACAGTTGTGACAGAGACTGTGACCCACAAAGCCAGAAATCCACCTGGCTCTTTAGTCTGCTGATCCAAGTCCCTATTGTAATTGACATAACCAGACCTATTTCTATAAATAGATATGCAGAATATAAGTCCTAACCACCCTTCTAGAACCAGTGCACGTGGCCTTATTTGGAAAAGGGTCTTTGCAGATGCAATTAAGATGAGGTCCTTCTAATAGAAAGGGAGATGTGGGATAAAGATTATGTGAAGATGAAATCAAAGATTGGAGTGATGGGCCACAAACCAAGGAATGTCTGGAGCCACCAGGAACTGAGAGGAAGAAAGGAGCCTCCCCTAGAATATCTGGAGTGATCATCGCCCTATTTACAACTTGACTTTGGACTTCTGGTCTCCACACTGTGAGAGAATACATTTGTTTTAAGCACAAATGATCCACCTGTGATTATTTGTTATAGTAGCCCCAGGGCACTAAGCCAGTCTGCATGTTCTTGACTTGCATGGTGCACTTTTACCTGAGAACTTTCTGGTCTCACCAGGAGTATCAGGCTGGGGAGGGAAGGGGAAGGGAAGGGAGGGAAGGGGAGGGAAGGAGGCTTTGCTTGCTCACCAGTACCCACAGTGGCTGCCCATCCCTGTGCTCCTCACCTGGAATGGCCAGCCACTTGCCCATCACTGAGAGTGCTGTGCTCTGCACCTGGTCCTCAGGCACCACCTTGTCCACTATGCCGACCTGGAGGGCCTCTGCTGGCGGGAAGAGCAACCCCAGCTGCAGAGCACGCTCTGCGGCACGGTGCCCAATGGTGTTCACAAGCGTATCTTTGAACCTGGAATGCAGACACCCACTCACCTGGGGCTGGGGGCTCCCAGGTGGGTTGGTTCATCCCTGGGCCAAGTGGAAAATGGGTGCAGTTCCTGGCCTTACCAGAAAGGGGCGACGATGCCCAGCAGGGTCTCATTCAGCCCAATGGCATATCTGGGATTGTCAGCCAGGACCCGGTAGTCACAGCTAAGGGAGATCAGGCAGCCTCCAGCAGGGCTGGCTCCCTGCAGGGGAAGCAAGACCACTGGGCTCTGGGTGCTGCTATTGCTGGTCCCAATAGTATTCCAGAGAGCCAGGGTCCCGAGGAATGCTTGCTAGTGGGTGTGAGCTCTCACAGTGACCTAACCCCCACCCCTCCCTCCACCAGGCGCAGGCTCTCCTTGCACCTTACTTGGGTTGTCACCACATCTCTTCAGGGCACACCAGTTCTGGAGCCTTAGCTTCAGCACCTTACCTTAGCGGTCTGTCCCTGCCTTCCCCAGGTCAGGCCAAAGTGATGTTTTCAAAATGTGGATCCAATTCCCCACTTGCTCCCCATATAGTCCTTGGATCCTGGGCCCTGCCCCCACCCCATTGAGTGAGTTGACCACTGTGGCCCCTACCTTGTTTGTCACCATGTCACAGTGATCTGTAATGGCATGCTTACTTGTGCACATCTCTCCCCAAGGCACCCTTCCCCTCTGAGGGCTTCCCGAGGGCAGGGCCA